AAAAAATCAATCCAAACAAAATATTACATCAAATTCCATAATCATTTCACTTTTTCTCTCACAAACATCACATCCAACCACAAAAAAACCAACTATCTTCCCAAACACAAAAAAAATTATCTCCAATAATATCCTACAAATAAAAAAATTTACAAAAAAATCCACTTTCCAAACACCAATAATATATCAAGTAACTAAAATTGAAGATTTGACATTTTAGGGGACTTAAATGTAAACATTTAAGCACATGTCAATGCTCGAGGAAATATTTGTCAGTTCATTGAGTTTGGTAACATGTCAGAACAAACAATTGAATTTTTTTTTTTTTTTTTTTTTTTTTTTTTTTTTTTTTAAATTTTTTTTTTTTAAACATGAACTAGTTGCTTTATATAGCATGGTGGTTGGTCACTAAAATGTCTAGGAATTTGGTTACAGAATGAAAGGATAGTTTAGGAGAATGGCTGGAGCTGGTGACTTGATTTGAATGGTAGGTCATAAATGCTTTTGTTTTTAGTAGGGTAATAAGGGATATAGATAGTAGAAACATATTGGCTTACTATATATATCTATCCTTGTCACTTATAAATCAATTACTATATTTGTCTGCCTGTCATTACAAGATTTCTAGTACTTCTAATTATAGTTGTCAAATCGGGATTCGTATCGTGAATCGAAATGACATTGTACTGAATTGCGAATCGAATCGTGAATCATAAAGATTCGGTCACTTTCTCCAAATTACTTAAAAACATACATCTACACATTTAGATGTTAAATATATGTTATGAATATAAAATATTTAGACTTAAATCTATGAAAATGTTATTTTAAATGATAATCATGTAGTTTAATAGGCAAGAAGTTAACAGAGATTCCTATGTAAGATCACCATCTTTCCTTTTTTTCGTTTTTAGATAACCATTCTTAATAAAGATAATAACTAAATAGACAAACTATCAATTTCTAAAGTAATAATAATTAACAAGGATATTGATATTTGGACAATAAGTATACATACATTTCTAAGTTACAGTGAGTAAATAATAAGAAGGAATTATTTAGAATTTTTTATTTTAAAGCCTAAAACATTTTAAAATGTATAACTAATCTCACACATGTAATATTCAATTTAATAAAATAGCAATAGGTAATTTATAGTGTAACTTTAATATTAAACATCTTTAGAAGATGTATTATGATTTTTTAAAGAGAAAAAAAAAAATGAGAAGAAAGGTTAAAAATATGTTAGGTCTGCCTGAATTTGATTAGATCCTATTAAAAATCCCATGATTACTAAAATAACAACAAATCATGTATATATGTTGGTTATTTTGGTATTAAACACTACTAGAAGTTGTATTATGTCATTTTCACTTACAAGATGGAGAAAAAAAGAGTCCAAAATATGTCGGACATAATAATTTCAAAAATTGCATGAATCGTAAAAAGTGAATCGAATCTTGAATTGTGTGATTCACTAGAGATTCACTTCCAAACTAGATTCACCCATAGATTCGTATCGATTTTGCAAAAATTGAGAATCGAATCGTGAATCGTAAAATTCTGATAACAGAGCTTCTAATCTACCTAGATTCTCTGCCTAGTTGGAATGTCATTTAAATTATAGATAAATTTGCCTCAAACCATCTTTTCTGGTCAGCAAATGCACATAAAATCAAATGAAAATTGAAGTAGGGGAAATGCTACAATGTGCAGTTGCATGTGCACATTGTAAAAAACGTTAAGTTTGTGATAAAAGTTATGAATATTTTTTGATGAAAGTTATGAATGGTGAAATTATGATCTGAACCTAAAAGTTACATATATAACTAAAGTTATACTTTTTGTGAGAAGCAAAAAGTTATACTTCTTGTGACAAAAGTTTTCCATTTTGTGACACAATAAAATTATGTTTTTTGCATAAGGTGCATACCATATGCATCCCAAAAAGAGTGCACATATAGTAGCCTTTGCCGGAAGCAGATATCATATATTTATTCATAAATTTCTTATGTTGATCTAAATTTGATTTTTATATCAATATTATTTCTGAATTGAAAATATTATCTAGAGGCCAAAACTACTGAATTCCACTTAGTACAAGCTTTGTATCAGTCTTATAAATTATTTCCTCTTTCGATGGATGATCTACCTTATCCTAGTGATAAAATACAAAATGTGGTATCCGCAGTGAAGCAAGTATGTGGTGGGAGATATGGTTGTAACTAGCTATAAGCTGGGTATGAGGAGAGTTGATGGTGGTACAAAAGCTTTTCTAATTATTATATAATTAGAGTAGGCTATCTGAGTCTCTTTTTGGTTGGATTACTTATAGATTAGTTGGCAACTTGTACTCTTGGGGAGTTTCATTGCTTAGGATGGATGAAATAATATTTGTCAGTGAGTGGAGCTGACATTGAAGATTGTAAAAGTGGAGATTTATTGGGCTATCATATGGGTCTGAAATGGAAAAAAGTGGAAGATTCGGAATAGCAATTTAGTAACAGTAGATATTTAGAAGGAACGGTGTTAAATCATTAGCAAGAACTACCGTGGTTATTGTGTGAAGGAGGGATTTAGGATGATACTTCCTTTGGCTTGGAGATTGCTAGCTTAAGCAAAATTATGCCTTGTGATTTTGCAAATGATTTTGATAAATATTAATAGGCCAAGCCTTAAAGCAATATATTAACCTACCAGACAACTTAACTTTTTTATATGACTGTAGAGAACTGAAACGTACATCTTGAAGTGGATGACTGGAAAGACTGTCAATGCTAGCACTGATGCATACATATGATAGCTTCTGTGCTGGATGATATAGGCTGTTAGATAAAGAGTGCCAACTGGGATTGATGGGTCATCATCCAAGAAGATACCTGATGGCTTTGGTGAGGAGTTGTAGGCTAGTCAGAGTTGACGACAACAAAAGGGGAGACAAGAACTTAGAAAGACATGGATAAGCCTTAGTCCCCTCTATCTACATGTATTCATCTTCTGTAATATGTTCTCTCGAAACTCATATCTTATAATAATTTCCAGTGCAATCATGTTTGAGCTATTATAGCTACTAACTCCTGGGAAAATATGTCTTTTGCCAAGGCCATAACTCGTCCTTTTTTTTTTTTTTTTTTTTTTTTTGTTTCTTTGCCACCTTCAATTTGAACAAATTAATCTCCTTTAAGTACATTCAATGGCCCTGTAGGGCTTAATTCTAGCTTATTTCAGCTTTTAGCTTAATTTAAGCTATTTTGATGTGTTTGGTTCAGCTTAACAATACAACTTATAGCTTTTTGTAAGTCAAAAATCAACTTATTCTTTGAGTGGGGGAAGAGAAACTTAATTTATAAGTTAAAAATCAGCTTATGTTTACAGTTATAAGTTATAAACTGTTAAGGTATAAGTTATAATCACTTTCCCACAGCTCTACCAAACGGGGTTATTAAATTGCTTCACTTTGCAATGGTCAACCTGTCTTAATGAATTAATCTTTTGTTTCTTTTGTTATTGCCACTATTTTTCTGCAAATATTTGAAGTACGCATTTGGCAAGTTGAACTAAGAAACAGGATTTGTATCACTAATGTGATATAGTTGAGATTTATGAGCAGCAAATTCAATTATGAGGCAAGTTGAACTAAGACAGCAACTTAAAACAAATCATTGAAAGAGGAAGAGTTGGTTGATTTATATTACAATAAAAGCCATGGCATCGTGTGGATGGAAGAGGCCTCCTATGGTGGCTTTTTTTGCTTAGTCTGCAGCTCAAAGATTCGTACTATTAACAACTTAATCAGAAGAAGACATATTTTGGTGAATTGGTGTTCTGTGTGTAAGAGAGGGAGAATTGATGAACCATATTTTAATTCATTGTCAATTTGCTCAGGAGCTTTGATCCTTGATTCTATCTTGGTTTGGGGTGGGAGTGAGTGTTCCACTGTCGAGTGGATGATCTTTTGCATTGTTGGAGTGAGAGTTAGAGTGGGGAAGAGGAGGAAGAAGGTGTGGAGATTGATTCCTCCATGCACTATGTGGCTTATTTGGGGAAAAGAAATCGAATGTGTTTTTTATGGAAGAGAGGTTCCTTTGTATAGGTTAAAAAGTAAGAATATGTTTTTAGTACAGTTGGGAGTTGGGTGTTGCCAACCTTTCTCCTGTCCAATTTTTTGGTTTTCATAGAGCTTTTCAACACTTGTGGAGGTACATGGAGATCTGTTTTCTGGGTCTTGTTTTGTACTTGGGTGTCATTCCCTTAATCCCTTTTTGAATAACATTTTATTATTGCTTATAAATAAATAAATAAATAAAAATTATAATCAAAGCCTTTGCCTTTGTGTTAAGGGTAGGATTATGTGTGCTTGAAATTATGAATTAAAATTAAGCATGGGTTAAGTTGGGAGTTACTTGGTAAACTTCAGTTCATTGAGTTATTGTCAATCCTTCAAGCATTAATTACACTTAAATAATTTTAAAGTTGCTCGGGTTTCTGTTGCAACATATTAGTGATTGATTGATTCATATCATTGTTTAGGTGTTAACCCCTTTGGTACACACCCTTCCCCTCAACAGATGTGTACCATATGCATATTATTACATATTCTTATGGTAATCTTACATATTATTGCGGTTCAAAGATGTTTTGATGAAAACATGTGTAATATTACCTCAAAAATACATAACATTATCAAAAAAATGTATAACTGCATTTCTGAACCACAAATTGGCGTAACACTACCATAAGATTACATAACATTTTCCACAAATTTGTAAATATGGAACACACCCATCGAGGAGTGTGTACCAAAGGGATTTTCTTTAGATTAAAATGATTCATGGGTTGAATTTACCGGACTCATATGTTGAAAGGTTACCTGCTCGAGTTACAGTCAAATATCATAATCTATTTTGAATATGTATATATACATGATATGTTAAAGTTTCTCTTAATTGCAAGTTCTGAAATTCTGAAACATAAATTAACTATTGATTTTGGTGGACCAGATACCGGGCAGTGACAAGTGCATACTACAGAGGTGCAGTGGGGGCAATGCTGGTCTATGACATGACCAAGCGCCAATCATTCGATCATATAGCTAGGTGGTTAGAGGAATTGCGGGGTCATGCTGATAAAAATATTGTAATCATGCTCATAGGCAACAAGTCCGACCTAGGGACCCTCCGTGCTGTACCCACTGAAGATGCCAAAGAGTTTGCTCAAAGAGAGAACCTTTTCTTTATGGAAACATCAGCTCTCGAGGCAACTAATGTCGAAACAGCTTTCATAACTGTCCTGACAGAGATCTACCGAATCGTCAGCAAGAAGGCCCTCACGGCCAATGAGGAAGCTGAATCCGGCAAGTCAGCACTTCTCAAAGGAACCAAGATTGTTGTCCCCGGACAGGAGCCAGAATCAGAAGGGAGCAAGTACAGCTGTTGCAGGTCTTCATAGAACTGTTCTCCTTTCAGGTAATCCGTTTTTATCTTTCTCATTTCCCCCCCCCGGCCCTGTAGGGCTTAATTCCAGCTTATTTCAGCTCTATATGGTTGACGTGATTATAATGGTTCTCCTTTCAGGAGGAGATAACGGCATGACACCTCTTGTAAGAAATTGTTTGTTTGTTTGTTTGTTAGCAGTGTAGATTTTGGGTTGCTCGGACATTCAAAGATGCGACGATAAATTTCACTGGAAATTTTAGTTTGCTTTTAACCCTTTTACTTCGTTCGGCCGTCGTCAATGGCTGAAACAGGTTACTTTGTGTTTGTTGTACACTAAAAAACAAAGTCAAACTGCGAAATATTTAGTTGTTGATTGGCTGAGAATATGATTAATATGCTTCAAGCCAAACACACAAGTTAGCGAAGGCGATGATATTGGAAGATTTTTGTACTAAAAATAATATACTTGCAGAATTTTTTACCTAATTCTTAACAAGAATGATTCAATCTAAAAGTGTCATTTTGATAGTTCTTAAGGTGATCAAATGTAAATTTCTTATATCATTTTGTCTTTATTTTGTGTGTGTAATTTTTCTATTTCTATATCACTGTTCTTCCTTTTTAATCCGAGATTAATAGAACTATGTCTGTCGGCAACAAAATGATGTGTTGGTGACTGGTTTTTATTGCTTTCTTCTTTCTTATTTCTAGAATAGATTAATTTAAGGACTAGATGGTTCTCATAGGAATTTTTGAATCTCAGTTTAATATATTGCTGGTGTTGGATCACCAATTAGCTTAAAAACTTTTAAATATTAAGAAATTAGTTCAACAATATATATTATGTTAAAAATGTCGTTATTAGAAAATGAGTGTGCAACCCTTTGTATTCCCAAGCACTTCCCCTGCACTTCCCCTCGACGTGTCTTTTAACAAGCTCTTCATCATTTTTATTATTATTTTTTTAATAATCAAGAACCGATCTTATGCAAAAGTCCTTTCACCCACACAAGAATGTAGGGGCTTTTCTCAAATTAAGGTAAAATAGCAACCTATTTCCCAAATTAGGCCATCCAAACTAAGCTAAAACGTGGTTGTGAACCACGCTTTCACCGCTTTTGTGACCTTGCGGAAAATTTGAAAAATCGTAAAAGCGTGGTTACAAATCACGCTTTTAAGAAAATTTGATTTATACATAAAGTGTGGTTAGGAACAACACTTTTAAGTAAAATTTGTTTTTTTTTTTCAACCACGCTTTTACTATTGACTAAAGAAAGCGTGGATGAAAACTACGCTTTTAACCAAAATCTGCTTTTAAATGAAAGCGTGGTTCGAAATCACGCTTTTGTAACTAATATAAAATTCCTCCAGCCCCCTCATTTGCAACCACGTTTTTTACACTTAGGTTTTTTTAACTTCAGGCTCTCTCTCACTATCTGCTCTCGCTCTTGCTCTCTCTCTGCTCTCGCTCCCTCTGCTCTCACACTCTCACTGCTCTCTTTCAGTCCGTAGGTTGCTCTCTCTCGCTGGTATGACATCTGTCTCAGTTTGAATTTTATGTGTTTATTGTGTTTGTGAAAATGTGAATGTGGGTACAATGTGGGTAGAATAGGGTTTGTGAATGTGAAAATGTTGTGAATTGATGAAAATGTTGGTAGAATAGGGTTTGTGAATGTGAAAATGTTGTGAATTGAAATTGATATCAATGTGGGTAGAATAGGCTTTGTAAATTGAAATTGTGGTTTTGAATTGGTAAAATGTTGTGGTTTTGAATTGTGAAAATGTTCTAGGGTTTTCAATTGAATGTGAAATCATAAATTAGGGTTTGGGTTTTGAATTGTGAAATCAGAAATTAGGGTTAGGGTTTTAGAAATTAGAGTTTTGAATTGTGAAAATGTTTTAACCCAAATTTTTGTTTGAATTTGTCGGACAATTCTAGGATTAGGGATTCATATCCGTATCTATATGTATATTTGATTTGTTTGGTATTATTACTATTATTATTCAAAATGAAAGAAAGGTTGACACACTTATATAATTTTCATTTTAGTGCAAAGATAATTTTTAAAATTAGGAAAGAATTTTTTGTTGTTTCCTAAAATGACTAGGTAAAATGAATACTAAAAAAAAGTAACTCTTAAGTTAAAAATATAACTATCCATTTCTCTCTGCGTAAGGTAACGGAGAATGAAATACTGGGGTTTAAAGTAAAAAACATGTGAAATCTTGAGAATTTTTTTATTTTATTTTATTTTATTTTTTTTTTGTAATTAACTCTTTTTAATTTTTTAAAAAATGGTTAATTACAAAAAAGTTATAAAGTTTCGTACGTTTTTCACTTTAAATCCCAATGTTTCATTCTCTGTTACCTTATGAAGATGGAGATAGACGAATAAACAGGATGGAACTCTAGGGTTTAGTTTGTCAAAATTAAAATATTGGAATTTAAAGAAAAATATATGAAACCTTGAGTTATTTATTTATTTATTTATTTATTGTAATTAACCGTAGTTTGTTTAGTATTTTTTTCTTTATTGATAGTCTATTGAATTATTATTATCATGATCCATATTAAAACAACAAATTCTACACCATATAAAAAGGCCACACAATGACTATAAAATGTCAAAATTACCCTTCTCAATAAGGAAAATAGGCTTTAAAATGGGTAACATTTGTCTCTACATGAGTTGTCCCTTGTGTAAAATAAAGGTTAGCACCAAATTGATGTGTTTAAACTATCCTACATATATACATACATATATGTGTTCGTCCCTTGTATTTCCTAGGCTTGTTTGGATTTGTTGAATTTGTTGTACGCATGTATTATTTTATTTTTTTTTAATAATTGATTGTTTAGTTTGATGTAAGTGTCATGATATTTGTAATTTATTCTATCAATTGATATAAATAAATAAATAAATTTTAAAATATTTTCCCAATGAATTTGTTCATAGAATTTTGGAGTGTTTGACCTCAACTGAAATTTACGTAATTCATACCTTTTTCTTTCTCAATCAATAGGAGATTACTTTCAATAAAAGAGAATTACATTCGTAGTCCAACAACTAGCCCCCCATATAGGAAGTCAAATTGATCATCCGTTGTGCATTGTCTGTAATGCATCATGTAGTGCCTCCAAACGAGATTGTTTTGAGACAAAACTTAAAAAAACGCAAACACAAACAAAAATAAAAAACAAAACAGAACATGCCCTTTTCCTCTTCCCCTATAGAGAATCACCTAAACTAGTCCAATTAATTCTAAACAATTCAAACTTGAAATTCTCAAGTTAGTAGCAAATTTTACAACACTAAAATAATCCAATAAACATCATATTACTAACCCTTTGGGAGGTCTTTGTCATGTGCTCCACACTAGAATCATTCCAAGGATATGATACTTTGTTTTTGAACTTTTGATGCAAACATGATTAGATTCCATAATTTGTATAGTTTGAGTCCTGTTCTTTGAGTCCTATTATTATTATTATTATTATAATTAATCTTTTGGAGATGCTCTTGCTATAGTAAACGAGAAATTATTTAGTATTCTGAAAACACAATGTGATTATATGCCACTCAATAACACAGTGTAACATTTTACAAATTTTTTAGAAAAAATAAGAACAAAAATGATCATGTTATTGTATCATAAATCACGTTGAAATTCTTAATGCACCGAATGATTTTTTTAATTATTATACAAAGTATAGTTGTTAATTTGCATCATAGTCCATTGTGGTTTACTTTTTATTAGATTGTGATTAAAAGGCCACTACTACATTAAATATTAAAAAAATATTTCGAGACAATTTTTAACACTTTCCATTCCATAATGGGAAAAAAGTAACTCTTAAGTTAAAAATATAACTAAAAGTTCAATTAATCTTATGGAGATGCTCTTTCTATAGTATACGAGAAATTATTTAGTATTCTGAAAACACAATGTGATTATATGTCACTCAATAACACAGTGTAACATTTCACAATTTTTTTTAAAAAAATTAAGAACAAAAATGATCTTGTTATCGTATCATAAATCACTATGAAATTCTTGATGCACCAAATATTTAATTTAGATGTTCAGAACAAAAAGTTAAAAGATCTTCAGAATAAAAAAGTTAGCTGAATTACTCTGTCTTTTTCTTTCCAAGTTCCTTTCCAAATAGAATTACTCTTTTTGGGGTCTCTAGCAAAAACTCACCAAATAGAATTTTTGGGGTCTCTAACATTACTCTTTTTCTTTTTCTTTCCAAGTTCCTTTCCAAATTCTTCAACCAAATATAGCATTAGTGACTAAATTTTGAAAAATAACAAAAGAAAAGAAAATAACAACTTCAAGCCAATGAGATTAGTAAATCTGACAAACCTTGGAGCATAGATCAAGATTTATAAAAAGAAAACAAAATAATGTTTTTTTAAATTTCTCCCACTTACATGCGTATAATTAAATCATTGCCTAAATTAAGGATTGTGTAGAGTTATTATTATTTATTTATTTATTTGGAGTCAATGCCTTTTAGAAATTGATCATATTGAGGGAGGGAGGCCCTTGCTGCAATGGTAAGGTTGTTTTATTATGTTGATAAAAAATAAAATAAACTAATTCTATTATTATTCGAGTGTTATGGATTCAAATCATAGAAATAATGTTTTTGGATACTCAATAAGGTGCGTGCATATATCTGATATTCCTCTAAACTCTGCCATGACTGGAATCTTTGGAATTGCCCCTTTACAGATCTTATAAATCAAAATGGGTCACTAACTAAAAATCTTATAGTTTTGTTATAAACAAAAAAATTGATCATAAAATTGAATACAAATACATATATACGCATAAAATTTTATAGAGTTTGTTAGTATTTTGAAAAATGTTATCCATCTATATACATTTTGTGTCCAGTTCTATAACCATTTTTGTATTCTTAGACTTATTCAAAATCTGAAGTTATTGCTGCTATGTGATTCAAAATTTCTTTTTGTTTCAAATTCAATAGACATTTTTGTATAGGACATCTATACATATGTATGAATTCAAAAATGATCATATGAACAAATCATATCCAACCTCAAAAAGAATGAGAAAAAAAAGAGCAATGAGAACAAAGAATTAAGACAAGAAGTATAGTTATTTTTATTTTTTCAATTCATATACAACTGTAAAATGAGAAAAGTTCTAGAACTATTTTGTATGTCTTAAAAACAGCACAAATTGCCTAAATTTGATCTGGTCTTCAAAGTTTCTTCTGTACTTTGGTAGTTGGTACAAGGTTTAAGCACTTAGGCAACAATTTGCATGAGTTTATTTTTTAAGAAAAGAAATATTTTGCTGTCGCATAAAGTGACTTAATCATATACAAAAGTTACCATATTATAAAATTAATTAGGGCTTTTTTAAAATAAATAAAATTAAATTAATGATAGTGCTTGGATGGCTCCACTTGTTTGATGCATTTTAAGAATTTTAATAAATTTATATTATTATAAGGATTCTTAATCCAATGGGGAAGGCTATTACCCATGAAATTGACTATCTTATTAAAGATAATTGATGAT